GCCCCAAGCCGCTCCGGTCAGGCCAGAGATGTTCACTGCAGTGTTTACCACAAGGAAACAGAGAAGCAGACCAACATTGGTGTCAGCCCCACAAGGGAACTCTGCATGGAGCTAACAAAAACCAGGCAACCTGGGACATTCTCATACGACAGTCAGACACTGAGCGATGATGGCGTGAAAACACCTACAAAAAGCAGTGTCCAGAGACAAAGGGCAGGGGAGGGGGGTTAGAGAGCAACCAAAGGACTTGCATGCATGCATATTAGCATAACCAATGGACACAGACACTGGGGTGGTGGGGGCTTGCCCAGGGTGGGAATGGCTTGGGGGGAAGGGGCGGTGGTTAAGCAGGGGTGGCGGTGGGGGTGGGGCGAGACATATGTAAAGCTTTAGACTATAAATAAAAAAACAAAAGCAGTGTCCGGCTGAGCAACGGGTGGAACCACCCACCGCTCTGAAAGGTCACGTGTCTGGGCACACGTGGGTAGATACAGGCCCGGAAAAACCATGGCGGACACCGGCCAGTGTGGGGTGGGGGCTGTCAGCCTTGAGCTTTGATGGAAGCAGTCCATGTTCTCTCCCCACAAGTATGGTGTCTAGTGCTAATTCTGGAACAAAAAATGAACTCAAAACATGTCCTCTAGGAATCCACTGGCCCTGTCTTTGGGGTTCATGGGTCGCCCGGGGACGCAAAATAAAACCTTTCCTTTTCTTTCTAAAAAAAAAACAACAACAACATGTCCTCTAGCTGAGGACACCTCTGAGACCCGTGGCTTCACCTCCCAGTTCCTAAACCCATACCCAGGGCCACATGCGTCAGAGAGGAGGACACCCCTGGGATAAATGGGCCCCAGGAGGTCTTGAAGACTTAAGGTTGCAGATAGTTTGTTCATGCTGTGGCTATTATCGAATTAAAGCGTGATGGGGGGGGGGGGAGGCCAGATGGGGCCCTTGGTGAGGAGGCAGCCAGCGGCCTCTTGGGGATGCTGGTGGCTATTTCTGCCCAAGTGCCCACCGTGTCCAGGCACTGGGTCCCGAGGCCTCAGTGTGACGCCTTGGACCAGCTGCTGCCGTTTCAGATGAAGGAGACGGAGGCTCGGTAAAGCTGCCAGGCTTCCCTTCAACCCTGTAGCCAGTGGCCCGGCCCCGTGACGGTCCATCCACTCCCCCAGGAATGCTCTGGCAGGTGCGGGGCCAGGTTACCCTGGAATCCCGTCCTAGCTCTGACACCTCCCCCAGGGCACGGGCCTCAGTTTCCCCATTTGCACAACAGGGGCCATGGCAATGCCTCCCTGTGGCATCAAGAGGGTACACATGAGACATACGTGAGCCGTGCAACCTGCTGCCTGTGGCACAGTTACGCGACACATATTAGGCAAAACTGTCATCTCTGCAACTCTGACCTCCTTTACAGGTGATGTGCTGAGCAGACATTACCTTGGAAAGCAGGGAAAAGCAGCCCAACATTTCATGCAAATCAAAACCACCGTTGAGATGCCACGGGACACACACACACACACACACACACACACACACACACGGCTGGAACCAGGCATGACAGGTGCTGGTGAGACCTGGGAGAAACTGGAGCCTCATGCACGGCAGGTGGGATGCAAAATGGGGCAGAGCTGTGGCCAGCGCCCAGCAGCTTCTCGACACATCAAACAGAGTCACCGTCTGAACCAGAAAGTCCACTGCTCGGTGCACACCCAAGTGAAAACCTGTGTTCACACAAAAACCTGCACATGAACATGCATGTTCACAGCAGCACGATTCCCTGCTGCCGAGAGGTGGAAGCCACCCAAGTGTCCACCCACGGAGACGTGGACAAGCACAAGGGGACCCGCCCACACCCTGGAATGTCACTCGGCCATGGAAAGGAGCGGAGCGCCGACACTCGCTACAAGGGGGACGGACCTTGAACACACGGCGCTCAGTGAGGGAAGCCAGACACCAAAGGCCACACAGCGTGTGATTCTATTTACGTGAAATGCCCAGGACAGGCCCATCCACGGAAAATGGGTCAAGGGCTGGGGAAGGGGATGAGGGGAACTGCTAAAGCGGATGCAACTCCTTTCTGGGTGATGAAATGTCCAAAAATTGATCGTGGTGATGGCTGCACAACCCTGTGAATACACTAAAAACCAGTGAATTGCACCCTTTAAATGGGTCAATTATGTGCCATGCAACGTTTCTATCAATAAAGCTGTTTGAAAATGCCAACACTGATTTAAGACAAAGGATTCGAATCCTTTAGCGGCTGAAGATCTGTGAGGAAGAGTGTGCCGATTTAAAATCCCACAATGGCACTTTCTAACGCCCACGCATGGCCGTGTTGGTGACAGGAAGCCACCAGGATGTCACCAGATGCCACATCCGACGCCAGGAGGCTGAGATCCTAATCACGGCCTGTTACACACCCTCATCCCCAGCC